TGGGAATTAAACCTCCAATTTTTGGGTTTTCCCAAGAATTTATGGAATTTCACCCGGTAATTGGGAATTAAACCTCCAATTTTTGGGTTTTCCCATGGATTTATGGAATTACACCTCCAATTTTTGGGTTTTCACATGGATTTACGGAATTTCACGGGATAATTGGGAATTACACCTCCAATTTTTGGGTTTTCCCAAGAATTTACGGAATTCCACGGGATAATTGGGAATTACACCAACAATTTTTGCGTTTTTCCATGGATTTATGGAATTTCACAGGATAATTGGGAATTAAACCTCCAATTTTTGGGTTTTTCCATGGATTTATGGAATTTCACGGGATAATTGGGAATTACACCAACAATTTTTGGGTTTTCCCAAGAATTTACAGAATTCCACGGGATAATTGGGAATTACACCAACAATTGTTGGGTTTTCCCAAGAATTTATGGAATTTCACGGGATAATTGGGAATTACACCAACAATTGTTGGGTTTTCCCAAGAATTTACGGAATTTCATGGGGTAATCAGGAGTTAAACCTCCAATTTTTGGGTTTTTCCACGGATTTATGGAATTTCACGGGATAATTGGGAATTACACCAACAATTTTTGGGTTTTCCCATGGATTTACGGAATTTCACGGGATAATTGGGAATTACACCAACAATTGTTGGGTTTTCCCAAGAATTTATGGAATTTCACCCGGTAATTGGGAATTAAACCTCCAATTTTTGGGTTTTTCCATGGATTTACGGAATTACACCTCCAATTTTTGGGTTTTCCCAAAAATTTATGGAATTTCACGGGATAATTGGGAGTTAAACCTCAAATTTTTGGGTTTTCCCATGGATTTATGGAATTACACCTCCCATTTTTGGGTTTTCCCATGGATTTATGGAATTTCACGGGATAATTGGGAATTACACCTCCCATTTTTGTGTTTTCCCATGGATTTATGGAATTCCACAGGATAATTGGGAATTAAACCTCCAATTTTTGGGTTTTCCCAAGAATTTATGGAATTTCACCCGGTAATTGGGAGTTAAACCTCCCATTTTTGGGTTTTTCCATGGATTTACGGAATTACACCTCCAATTTTTGGGTTTTCCCAAGAATTTATGGAATTTCACGGGATAATTGGGAGTTCCACCTCCCATTTTTGTGTTTTCCCAAGAATTTACGGAATTTCACAGTGTCATTTGGAGTTCCACCTCCCATTTTTGGGTTTTCACATCCCACCCATTCCCAAATTCCCATCCCGAGGATCCCGATGGTTTTTCCAGGTTGGATCAACCCCGATTTTTCCCGTTTTTTTTGGTTTTTTCCCCTTTTCCCAGACAAACGGGATTACATCTGCGAGTTCTGCGCGCGCTCCTTCCGCACCAGCAGCAACCTCATCATCCACCGGCGCATCCACACCGGGGAGAAGCCGCTCCAGTGAGTCCCGGAAATCCCAGTTCATTCCCAGAAAATCCCAGTTCCTTCCAGGAAATCCCAGTTCATTCCCAGGAAATCCCAGTTCCTCCCAGGAAAAACCAGTTTATTCCCAGGAAATCCCAGTTCTGAAATCCCAGTTCATTCCAGGAAATCCCAGTTCATTCCAGGAAATCCCAGTTCATTCCAGGAAAAACCAGTTTATTCCCAGGAAATCCCAGTCCCATTCCCAGGAAATCCCAGTTCTGAAATCCCAGTCCATTCCCAGGAAATCCCAGTTCCTTCCAGGAAATCCCAGTTCTGAAATCCCAGTCCCATTCCCAGGAAATCCCAGTTCCTTCCAGGAAATCCCAGTTCCTTCCAGGAAATCCCAGTTCTGAAATCCCAGTTCCATTCCCAGGAAATCCCAGTCCCATTCCCAGGAAATCCCAGTCCCATTCCCAGGAAATCCCAGTTCCATTCCCGGGAAATCCCAGTTCCATTCCCAGGAAATCCCAGTTCCTTCCAGGAAATCCCAGTTCCATTCCCAGGAAATCCCAGTTCCTTCCAGGAAATCCCAGTTCCTTCCCAGGAAATCCCAGTTCCATTTAACGGTTCTCCTCGCGGGATTTTTTATTTTTTATATTTTTATTTTTTTAACCGTTCTCCTCACCGGATTTTTTATTTTTTATTTTTTTGTTTTTTAACCATTCTCCTCACCGGATTTTTTATTTTTTATTTTTTTGTTTTTTAACCATTCTCCTCACCGGGATTTTTTATTTTTTTAACCCTTCTCCTCACCATATTCCTTATTTTTTTTGCTTTTTAACCCTTCACCTCACGGGATTTTTTTACTTTAACCCTTCACCTCACCCTTTTTTTCATTAATTTTAATTTTTTAATTTTTTTTCCTTTATAAACCACCCCCACCCGCATTTCCATTTCGATTTTCCCCCCTCCCCAGGTGCGAAATCTGCGGTTTCACGTGCCGCCAAAAAGCCTCCCTCAACTGGCACATGCGGAAACACGACGCCGACTCCTCGTTCCGCTTCCCCTGCGACGTCTGCGGGAAAAGGTTCGAGAAGCGCGACAACGTCACCGCCCACAAGAGCAAAAGTCACCCCGGCGGGATCCGCCAAATCCAACGCGGAATTCCGGAGCCGGAAAAGCCGGAAAAGCCGGGATCGCCCCAAAGTCACCGGGAAGGACGGGCGGGGTCCTAGGGAAGGACGGGGTTAAAAATTTGGGGAGGGTGGGGAGGGGTGGGAGGTAGAGCTGCAGGTGGGAGAGGGAAAATTTGGGGGAAAATATTGATTTTTTTCGGATGAATCTGGGGGTTTTTTAAGGGTGAATATGGGGGGGATAATGGGTTTTCAGTTTGGGCGATGGGGCAAAATTTGGGAGGGTGTTGGGTTGTGTGAGGCAGCTCTAGGTGGGAAAAATATGTGGGAGAGGTAAAAATGGGGAAAAATCCAAGTTTTTGAACCAAATCCTAAATGAAAATTCAAGTTTTCAGCCAAATCCGTTTATTTTTTTTGGTCAAATCTGGGGAAAAATCCCGGATTTTCAATTTGGGCGATGGGGAAAAATCAGGGATGATGTTGGACCGTGTGAGGCATCTCTAGGTGGAAAAAATATGTGGGAGAGGTAAAATTGGGGGAAAATCCCGGTTTTTTGGACAAATCTGTCTTTTTTTTTCATGTCAAATATGGGGGAAAAATCCCAGATTTTCAGTTTGGGCGATGGGGAAAAATTTGGGAGGGTGTTGGGTTGTGTGAGGCAGCTCTAGGTGGGAAAAATATGTGGGAGAGGTAAAATTGGGGAAAATCCCAGTTTTTCAGACAAATCCTAAATGAAAATTCAAGTTTTCAGCCAAATCCGTTTTTTTTATGGCCAAATATGGGGAAAAAATCCTGGATTTTAAGTTTGGGCGATGGGGCAAAATTTGGGAGGGTGTTGGACTGTGTCAGGCAGCTCTAGGTGGGAAAAATATATGGGAGAGGTAAAATTTGGGAAAAAATACCAATTTTTCAGATAAATCTGTCTTTTTTTTAAGGTCAAATATGGGGAAAAATCCCGGATTTTCAGTTTGGGCGATGGGGCAAAATTTGGGAGGGTGTTGGGTTGTGTCAGGCAGCTCTAGGTGGGAAAAATATGTGGGAGAGGTAAAAATGGGGGAAAATCCCGGTTTTTTGGATAAATCTGTCTTTTTTTTTAATGACAAATATGGGGAAAAATCCCGGATTTTCAGTTTGGGCACTGGGGCAAAATTTGGGAGGGTGTTGGGTTGTGTCAGGCAGCTCTAGGTGGAAAAAATATGTGGGAGAGGTAAAAATGGGGAAAAATCCAAGTTTTTGAACCAAATCCTAAATGAAAATTCAAGTTTTCACCGAAATCCTTTTTTTTCTTGGTCAAATATGGGGAAAAATCCCGGATTTTCAGTTTGGGCGATGGGGCAAAATTTGGGAGGGTGTTGGGTTGTGTGAGGCAGCTCTAGGTGACAAAAAATACATGGAAGAGGTAAAAATGGGGAAAATCCCGGTTTTTTGGATAAATCTGTCTTTTTTTTAATGACAAATATGGGGAAACATCAAGGATTTTAAGTTTGGGCGATGGGGAAAAATTTGGGAGGGTGTTGGGTTGTGTGAGGCACCTCTAGGCACCAAAAATACGTGGGAAAGGTAAAAATGGGGAAAAATCCAAGTTTTTGAACCAAATCCTAAATGAAAATTGAAGTTTTCAGCCAAATCCATTTTTTTTTTTGGTCAAATATGGGGAAAAAATCCCGGATTTTCAGTTTGGGCGATGGGGCAAAATTTGGGAGGGTGTTGGGCTGTGTCAGACAGCTCTAGGCACCAAAAATATGTGGGAAAGGTAAAAATGGGGAAAATCCCGGTTTTTTGGACAAATCTGTCTTTTTTTTAATGTCAAATATGGGGAAAAAATCCCGGATTTTCAGTTTGGGCGATGGGGCAAAATTTGGGAGGGTGTTGGGCTGTGTGAGGCAGCTCTAGGTGACAAAAAATACATGGAAGAGGTAAAAATGGGGAAAAATCCAAGTTTTTGAACCAAATCCTAAATGAAAATTCAAGTTTTCACCAAAATCCTTTTTTTTTTTGGTCAAATATGGGGAAAAATCCCGGATTTTCAGTTTGGGCGATGGGGCAAAATTTGGGAGGGTGTTGGGCGGTGGGAGGCAGCTCTAGGTGGGAAAAATAGGTGGGAGAGGTAAAAATGGGGAAAAACCCAGTTTTTCAGCCAAATCCTAAATGAAAATTCAAGTTTTCAGCCAAATTCTTCTTTTTTTTGGTCAAATATGGGGAAAAAATCCTGGATTTTCAGTTTGGGCGATGGGGCAAAATTTGGGAGGGTGTTGGGTTGTGTCAGGCAGCTCTAGGTGGAAAAAATATGTGGGAGAGGTAAAATTGGGGGAAAATCCCAGTTTTTCAGACAAATCCTAAATGAAAATGCAAGTTTTCACCAAAATCCTTTTTTTTCTTGGTCAAATATGGGGAAAAATCCCGGATTTTCAGTTTGGGCGATGGGGCAAAATTTGGGAGGATGTTGGGTTGTGTCAGGCAGCTCCAGGTGGAAAAAATATGTGGGAGAGGTAAAATTGGGGTAAAATCCCGGTTTTTTGGACAAATTCCAGATGAAACACCAAGTTTTCAGCCAAATCCTTCTTTTTTTTGGTCAAATATGGGGAAAAAATCCTGGATTTTAAGTTTGGGCGATGGGGCAAAATTTGGGAGGGTGTTGGACTGTGTCAGGCAGCTCTAGGTGGAAAAAATACATGGGAGAGGTAAAATTTGGGAAAAAAAACGAATTTTTCGGATAAATCTGTCTTTTTTTTAAGGTCAAATATGGGGAAAAAATCCCGGATTTTCAGTTTGGGCAATGGGGCAAAATTTGGGAGGGTGTTGGGTTGTGTCAGGCAGCTCTAGGTGGAAAAAATATGTGGGAGAGGTAAAATTGGGGGAAAATCCCGGTTTTTTGGACAAATTCCAGTTGAAACACCAAGTTTTCAGCCAAATTCTTCTTTTTTTTGGTCAAATATGGGGAAAAATCCCGGATTTTCAGTTTGGGCGATGGGAAAAATTTGGGAGGGTGTTGGGTTGTGTGAGGCAGATCTAAGTACCAAAAATAGGTGGGAAAGGTAAAAATGGGGAAAAATCCAAGTTTTTGAACCAAATCCTAAATGAAAATTCAAGTTTTCAGCCAAATCCGGTTTTTTTTTGTCAAATATGGGGAAAAAATCCTGGATTTTCAGTTTGGGCGATGGGGCAAAATTTGGGAGGGTGTTGGGTGGTGTGAGGCAGCTCTAGGCACCAAAAATATGTGGGAAAGGTAAAAATGGGGGAAAATCCCGGTTTTTTGGATAAATCTGTCTTTTTTTTTAATGACAAATATGGGGAAAAATCAAGGATTTTCAGTTTGGGCGATGGGGAAAAATTTGGGAGGGTGTTGGGTTGTTTGAGGCACCTGTAAGTACCAAAAATAGGTGGGAAAGGTAAAAATGGGGAAAATCCCGGTTTTTTGGATAAATCCGTCTTTTTTTTAATGTCAAATATGGGGAAAAATCCCGGATTTTCAGTTTGGGCACTGGGGCAAAATTTGGGAGGATGTTGGGTGGTGTGAGGCAGCTCTAGGTACCAAAAATAGGTGGGAAAGGTAAAAATGGGGGAAAATCCCAGTTTTTCAGACAAATCCTAAATGAAAATTCAAGTTTTCAGCCAAATCCGGTTTTTTTTGGTCAAATATGGGGAAAAAATCCTGGATTTTAAGTTTGGGCGATGGGGCAAAATTTGGGAGGGTGTTGGACTGTGTCAGGCAGCTCT